GGGGAGATAAGCTAGAAGTCAATATATGGATAGTATGTTTGTGTTTATCTTCGGGAAATTGTATGTTTTACCTTGGGGTCAAATGAGCTTTTGGGCTGAACCCTATGATTGGCCCACATGTTTATGCCTACCCATTTGTAAGCCTCATACTAGAGCTCTAAGGCGTATAGGGCCACACAATTATGACGTTTTATCTCTAATTATGGGATCTATGCTAGGTGATTCTCACGCTGAGAGGCATGGGAATGGTACTAGAATACGTCTTCAGCAGGAAAGTACTAATGTAGAATACTTGAGGTGGTTCCATAAGTTCTTAGCTAGTCGGGGTTATTGCTCTACGACTAAGCCCAAATTACATATCAGGACCGAAAAGGGAGGGAAGGTGCGTCATTATTACCAAATTCGCACTTGGACCTTTTCAAGTTTTAATTGGATTTACGAGACTTTTTACCCAAAGGGTATTAAGGTTGTGCCTCTTAATATTGGAGACTATATCTCACCACTTGCTCTCGCTGTTTGGATAATGGATTACGCTACTGCTCTTCCTTATGGTATGAAGATTACCACGAATTCTTTTTGTTATAAGGATGTATTGTTTTTGTGTGAGGTTTTACGAGAAAAGTACGGTATTGTAGCTAGACCTAATAAAGATGGCGATCAGTGGGTGCTTTACATTCATTCTGAGTCTATGTCTAATATGTCTAAAATTGTTAAGCCTTATATGGTACCTAGTATGCACTATAAATTGGGTAGGTATCAAACATAGTCTACCTGCTAATTCTGTGCAACCTACACAGGAAAACAGTTGTTATTGCGGGTAGGCGATGCCGGTGTTAACGGTCAAAGGTCTCTCTCTCCTATACCCAGACCGTCGGTTATGTGTAGAACCGCTACAGACTAGTCCACCGGTGGGTGTCTGAGACCGGTGATATCTATCGCCGGAGTATGATGCTTAATGTATAGTCGGAATTCCTCACTTTCGTGTCTAGGGCTTTACGTAATTCCTTCGTTTCTAGGAAAGAATAATGTACTATGTTTTGCATACTTGCTGAAAACAAAATGGTTGTAAAGTACAGGGGGTTAGAGTCAGGAGAGAACAGACCTAACCGAGGAATTTGGCAACGGTAATTACTAATCTTCTTTCGGCCATACCTTGGATTGGCAGGGATCTGGTGGAATTTGTATGGGGAGGCTTTTCCGTAATTACTGCGGCATATAACAATATATGAAAACTTCGCTTGATGCTGGGATAACTCCAATTTATGGAACACGGTACTTGTTGTCAAAGTACAATCTATTTAATATTACTATTAATTATGTATTGGATATTTAATGGTATCTTTGATCAAAAACAATGTGACAATTCGTGTTACAAGGAGTCTATCAGCCGGGGTATGTAAGCTAATTTGTCGATATTTTAGCTCAACAGCTCCTCAGAGACTAAACGCAAAGGATATGGCATGGTTAGTGGGTTTTGTGGAAGGTGATGGCTGGTTTTCAATTACTAAGAATGGGATTTATTGCAAGTATGAGTTTGGGATAGAAGTATCTGAAAAAGGATATTAAGTTACTCTATAAGCTAAAGGAAATGTTAGGAGTAGGTCGAGTCTCCCGGAGAAGAACTCGGGAAGGAATGGTCATTTTCAAGCTCACTTCTAAGGCCCATCTTCGCAATATTGCCCTTCCTATTTTGATTCTTATCCTATGTTTACTTCCAAGCATTGGGATTATATTATTTAAGAAACAATCTTCTTAATAATGTGACTTATATTTATAATCTTATATCTTATGCACGTCCCGATCATACACCATTCGAAACCATTGATCTTATTCTAGCATGTACTTACTTGATAATTGGCTAGTAGGCTTTCAAGTGAAGGATCTTTTTCAATTTATCAACCTTCAGGTGAGACCAATAAGAGTGTTAGATTTTAAGTTGGTCAAACTAAAGGGGCGCAAATTATAGATGCTATTAGGGTTCGTCTATTAATAAACGCTAACCCTTATGCAGATAAAGACAATAGTGTTCGGATAAAGACCACTAGTTCTAGAGGCCGGCCTTCAAAATGTTATTAACTCTTTGGATCGTGCTGAAGCTAAACTCAAAGGGTACAAACGACTTCAGTATCTTCTATTCTTTAAGGAGATTAGGGTCAATGCTAGATATAGTCATCTAGATATTCCGTCTAATTACGGCAAATAAAATCCGCAATTTACTATGAAATGCCTTATTATGATATAGTCCGAACCATAGCGTGAGCTATGGCGTGTGACGAGAGGTGAAATATGTTTCACTGTTGGTCACCAACATATTGGGATAATCCTACGCTTACCCGATTCTACAGTCTGCACTTCCTTTTACCTTTTGTTCTTACGGTATTGGCTTTTATGCACCTTATAGCGCTCCACCAGCACGGTTCAAATAATCCACTGGGGGTAACTAGTAGCCTCGACAGAGTACCTTTTTATCCTTACTACGTCTTTAAAGATTTAGTTGGTTTCTTTGTCTTCTTTTTAGTTCTA